TCTCTCTCTCTCTCTCTCTCTCTCTCTCTCTCTCTCTCTCTCTCTCTCTCTTTCTTTCTATCTCTCTCGGGCACATTATGTATCTTCTGATCGAGTCATCATTCAGTTGGAAAACCAAATCTATATTATATCTTTTTAACACTTTAGCGATGTCTCTGTCCCACTCTTGATTATTATCACACTGGAGGTCGATTGAGTAAGGGGAATGAGAGGGGGGGGGGTAAGACTCTCAACTTGTCGTCTTGCAAGCTTCTTTCCCAGTGGAACGATGTGTTTTAGTTACATTCAAACAAGACAAAGAAACGTGTACTAATTATAACAATGATAATACTATATCAACATTAACAACGTCAATGTTAATGATAATACTATCATTATCACTATGATTATTGATATTGTTATTTTTATATTTACTATCGTTATTATTATTATTGTTATTGTTGTTATTATTATTGTTTCTGCTATTGTTGATGTTGTTATTACTTTTATAGTCATGATAAAGCTAACAACACAACAATAATGGTAATAAGTATTCGGAAAAAATATGACATACTATAGTAATTCCTGCTTTCTCGCCAGGTGGAGCCCTGTCCAATTTCATCAGCTATGGATCTGGATCTCTGCCATATGTGGACGACCGTCCCATCTACAGCAAGACAATGTACGGTCTGGACTTGGGGGCTTGTGCTCAGGTAAGCTCACCGCATCTATAATTTATTGCATATAACCTGTTTGACTGTTCTAGGCACAGAAAGCGATCTTTTTAGAGAAGAGAGAAAGAGAGAGAGAGGGGGGGGGAGAAAAGTGTGTGTGTGAGACAGAGAGAGAGGGGGGGAGGAGAGAGAGAGAGAATTAGAGAGAGAGTGAGAGAGAGAGAGAGAATTAGAGAGAGAGAGAACATGTTTCAGTCTTTGTATATATTGTATCTTCTCTTGCTTTTAGGACTTCTGGAATTTTAATTTCAAGAAAATATGTTTCAATCACATGTGGTCGATACCACGGATTAAGGCTCTTTACCCTTGTATAGGTGATTTTAAGGGAATCCTCTTGTCTCGTTCATTCCGGAGTTGGACGTTGAATTCAGAGATCTCCATTTTTTTAGGTTCTTCATCGTCATCATCAAAGTGCCATATCTGCGGCATACATCGGCGATCATGGTTCTCCATCCATTCCTTTGCTCGGATGCTCTTTTAAAAGTAACAGCATCCTTCTTTCCCCGTTACCCATTTGCTCAGGTTCTCCAAGTAGGTTGCTCTGGGTTTGTCCCTGTCTGGTTTGCCTTCAATTGTGCCAATGAGAGCTAGATGTTCAAGACATTTATGTCTATTGAGGTGTCCCAAAAACTGCATTTGTCTTTTCCTAATTGTTTTTATCAGTGAGCGTCCCACGTAGGATTCATCAAGTACTACCGTATCTGATTTCTTTTCCTTCCAAGATATTCTCAGCAGTCGCAAAAGAAATCCTTCTATCTTATGTTCACTGTCTTCAGTGAATGTCCAATCGTTCACAGCTGTACTGAAAAGTTGAACATACATGGTTGAGATGTTTCTATTTTTCAGAATTTAGCAAATTTTATTGAAACTATCGAGCCATTGCAATTTTTTGTTTAATTTCTGTGGAATATTTAGAGCCAGATGTTATCTTGGTATTTAAACTGTTGAACTTGTTTGATCTGTTCGCCTTTCCTTATTAGGCTATAGGTGTAAACAACGTAACATTGATCTTAGAATTTAAAAAAACAACCTCGAGAATCAGTTGTATAGGAATTGGTCTTGAAATCCCCCAAAAGGGGGTACCCAAAAGACAACACTATCCTATTCCACCTATGCTCATCTTCAACCCC